TACGGACTCTCGAATCGAACGCGGACTCTCTCTCTATCTCACTTTCTCTCTTTCTCCCTTTCTCTATCTCTCCTTCTCTCTTTGGCTACAGAAATATCCCTTTTTCGTCCTCCTTCGGCTTTCCACCGTCCCGCGAGTGTATTTCCACTTTACGATGTAGGCGACGCGTTCGACAAAGAGCTTGCGTCGCGTAAAAACAAAGGGCCGATATAAAATTGTGATTGCCGGCTGCGATGTAAAACGACGGAGATGTAGGAGGACTCGGACGCACAGTTTTCGAGGAGGAGCTCACCCGACGTCTCGAATTATAATAAATTTTGCTCTCGTGAATTCTTTTCAATAAAATGGACGAGGGAGCCAACTCGAGTTACACGAAACTCGTAAAACGGTCTTCAAAGTTGGAATAGGAAACACGTTTATGGAGCTATATTCCAGCGGGAATCTTTGAAAAAATCGATTTTTATATTTTCTTGAAAAATACACAGGTTCAAAAATACGTCTGCGATACCTTATGCTTGAATTCTTAGAATTAAGAAAGTCACAGGTGGTCGAAATTATGATCAGAATTCTTAAAATTCGAGAATTTGCAGCTGGTTGAAATTATGTTATTTGTAATGATTATCATTGACATACGCAACTTTAAATGTACTTTTCTCGAACTTTTTCTCGAACAACCTAAAATTTTTATTTCTTTACATTCTCTTAATATTGACAAATCAATAAGAAAAATCGATAAGTAAATTCCGAAGTGTCGCTACTTTTTTAAGTACTGTTTTGTTTTTCATTTGTTCCTAATACATGCTATAGCCAAACTCATACTAATTCTGAACCGCGTATGTTTCTCCGTTTCAGATGAACAAAATAGTCGCCCCAAGAAACGATCTTTTTAATATTTAACCGTGTATAAGAGCATTCACAACCACCAATTTTAGATGGTATCTCGACTTAATGCTTCAAAATGCTTTGTTTATCTGCATTTCTTGCATGCACGAGAATGTGATTGGGATACTAGTGGTATCTGTCAGTGTTGGTCATAAGTACATTGTTCCCGTATGGAACCAGCATACAATTTTCAATTTTGCTCAGCTCTTTAAGCTATGGAACATTTGAAATCAAACTGCCATTCGGGAACGGTATGCAATAGAGGATTAATAACAGGTCGAAACACAATTTTTCCCCTGAACTCCCATTGATTCACCGTGCCCAGCAACGTCGCAACAAAACCGCAAGGGTAGAAGACAAGCGTCGCGTCTGCGGGGGTGGAAAGCGTGGCACGGGGGTGGCAGACAAATTCGTCCGAAGCGAAAAAAGAAGCGGCAGAAAGGAAGGCGGCGAAGAAGAGAGAAAAAGAGGCGAAACGTCGGACATCATAGGGATAAAGGTACGAGGCAAATTAGCAGAGCATCGCTTCAAGGTACACAGAGACGAGGAAAAACACCGGTCCCCTTCCCTGTGTCCCTTAATCCGTCCGCGCGGCTCCTGTGCCCCCTCCTTAAGCCGGGGCGAAGCGTGCAATAGAGCATACGATGCGTCTAGACAAAATAATGATTTGGATTTCAATACATTTGCATTCATTACCCCGGGGCACCTCTCTTGTCCCCCTCCCGACTGACGCGCTCGCCGGCTCTCTATCTCTCTTTTTCTCTCTTCCCGGCTGCTCCCGTTTTCGTTTCCACCCGGTCCGCACCCCCGTTGACCCCTCCGTTGGACGGATCCCCTCCACTAATCCGTTTCATGTCTCGCAGAGTTACGCTCGTTATCATACGAATGCTCTGCTCGTGCCGTCGGCGCTCGTTTCGTCGCCGTCGAAATGTGATGCGGCCGGACGAGTAAGCAGCACCAGCACCGACAGCAGCAGCCGTCTAGCTTTTCGGCGTACGTGTATCGTGCACGTGTGAATCCGACGGGTCAGTCGGATGAGGGTGGCGCGCGTGGGAGGACGAGAGGAGGACCGTGTACGAGCAGGGATGAAAGAGAGAGAGAGAGAGAGAGAGAGAGAGAGAGAGAGAGAGAGGATGAGAGAGAGAGAGAGAGAGATCGGATAGAACCGGCGGAGTTTTTAGCGCGGCGCGAAAAAGGCGAACAACCAGTCTGGACTGTGAATTGCTGCGCCGCGACCGCACCGACCGTCCGGCTAATGAATGGCCACCGACGCCGACTCGTCTCTCTGCACACCTTTTGCATTGGACACACGTGCTGCGCAACGCTGAGCCGAATGCGACCGAACAGCCCGGCGATACGCGAAACGACCAGTGTCCCGTGCACGCAATTGCCGATTGACGTCAGCCTGATTCGCACGGCGACGATAGCACACGCCCGCGACCTGCCAGCGTTGCCCGCTGTCTGATAGACAGAGGATGCCTGGAATTGGCAATTGGGTCAACGCTTTTCGTCCGGGAACGACCGTTATCCGCGGTCCCCTCGAACCACAGGTTCTGTCGGAACTTCTGTCGTTGAGAGATTAGGGAACTGGAAATCCTGAGCTTCCGAGGTTTCTTCCTAATTTTGCTTCCACACGGCCAAGATGTATTTTCAGACGTGCAGATTGTAAATGTATTTCATTTTGGAGATTTCCATTGTTAATTTGGTTCTTTTAGCCGTCGTGTCCTGCGTCCTGATTTTAGTTGCCGATTTCACTGAGAGTTGACAATGAACTGCTTTATTAATGGGCAACTGTATCGGTATATATGCTGGTTTGTAAAATACGGCGAAATGTTTATAGTGGAATCTCCCTCATCAAACTCATTCAGTCGCTTATGGAAAGTCAGTTTATACGTTCCTATAATTGAATATATTCTAGATGATAGAATAGTTTGGATAGTAGAGGCTCTGAATCTGATGCTAAAGATTAACTTGTTTGAATTAACCATATTTTATTGTAACTACATAATTAAACGTGAAAACAGGAAACATGAAGATCCGCAGACTAATTGTATTAGTGATGATTTTGCACAGGGTTTAGTTATGTATAAAATGGAAATTTCATACGTTTAGACTGTTTTTAAACCCTAGTAGATTTGATGCATTTATAGCAGTTTTAGTTACTCGAAACTTTAAATAGGTAAATATTTAAAAAAGATTCGCACGATTTTTAGCTCCTTCAGCATAGAGAGATGAGAATAAATTCTTATATTAAAGACAAAAATGTAAAAAAGTAATAAGCGTTTGTCTATCTTTTTGTATATCTTGAAATTGCGTTGGATACACAAGCATTGTGATGAATATTAAACACGGAGACCNAGAGAGAGAGAGAGAGAGAGAGAGAGAGAGAGAGAGAGAGAGGATGAGAGAGAGAGAGAGAGAGATCGGATAGAACCGGCGGAGTTTTTAGCGCGGCGCGAAAAAGGCGAACAACCAGTCTGGACTGTGAATTGCTGCGCCGCGACCGCACCGACCGTCCGGCTAATGAATGGCCACCGACGCCGACTCGTCTCTCTGCACACCTTTTGCATTGGACACACGTGCTGCGCAACGCTGAGCCGAATGCGACCGAACAGCCCGGCGATACGCGAAACGACCAGTGTCCCGTGCACGCAATTGCCGATTGACGTCAGCCTGATTCGCACGGCGACGATAGCACACGCCCGCGACCTGCCAGCGTTGCCCGCTGTCTGATAGACAGAGGATGCCTGGAATTGGCAATTGGGTCAACGCTTTTCGTCCGGGAACGACCGTTATCCGCGGTCCCCTCGAACCACAGGTTCTGTCGGAACTTCTGTCGTTGAGAGATTAGGGAACTGGAAATCCTGAGCTTCCGAGGTTTCTTCCTAATTTTGCTTCCACACGGCCAAGATGTATTTTCAGACGTGCAGATTGTAAATGTATTTCATTTTGGAGATTTCCATTGTTAATTTGGTTCTTTTAGCCGTCGTGTCCTGCGTCCTGATTTTAGTTGCCGATTTCACTGAGAGTTGACAATGAACTGCTTTATTAATGGGCAACTGTATCGGTATATATGCTGGTTTGTAAAATACGGCGAAATGTTTATAGTGGAATCTCCCTCATCAAACTCATTCAGTCGCTTATGGAAAGTCAGTTTATACGTTCCTATAATTGAATATATTCTAGATGATAGAATAGTTTGGATAGTAGAGGCTCTGAATCTGATGCTAAAGATTAACTTGTTTGAATTAACCATATTTTATTGTAACTACATAATTAAACGTGAAAACAGGAAACATGAAGATCCGCAGACTAATTGTATTAGTGATGATTTTGCACAGGGTTTAGTTATGTATAAAATGGAAATTTCATACGTTTAGACTGTTTTTAAACCCTAGTAGATTTGATGCATTTATAGCAGTTTTAGTTACTCGAAACTTTAAATAGGTAAATATTTAAAAAAGATTCGCACGATTTTTAGCTCCTTCAGCATAGAGAGATGAGAATAAATTCTTATATTAAAGACAAAAATGTAAAAAAGTAATAAGCGTTTGTCTATCTTTTTGTATATCTTGAAATTGCGTTGGATACACAAGCATTGTGATGAATATTAAACACGGAGACCAGAAAATATTGTACATATAGAAAATATAGGAACCTAGACTAACACGTCTGTCTATTGCTGGCCGATTCTACTTATGGTAAAAATTAGAAATACTATTACTACCGAGTTAATACAATTATTAGAGATTGTAGAACTCTTGTAATAAAAAATATCAATCTTCTGAAGTCTCTAAAATAAATAATTCGCTAAAATATAATTCGTCTAATAAATTTCTTAATTGCCTACCTTCGAATCAACGATCGTACGAATGTATTACAATATTTCTATCACATAAGTGGTTTTCATATCTGCATAATAAAAATAACTATAAGTCTTTACTAGAAACTGTACATATATTAAAATAATCATAATTCTTTTCTTTATGCTCCAATACTAAAATTAACATATTTTTAAAGTAAAATATTAAATACTTACTTCTAAAATTAACGGTAAATATACCATGGTAAAGATATCTACTTAAGAAGTACCATAAAATGAGCGATGAGGTACTTACCGGTTCGGTGCGGCCATCCCCTTCTTTTCCCAGTGATTGACCCTCTGTCCAGCCCATCTTTGATAATAGTTTGAATCCTCTATTGTCCTTAGTTATAGATCTATAATCAAATTGAAACGGAAATTATAAAATTATTGAGAATGCATGTCTTGAAACTAAAAAATGTATGTAACTACCCACAAAAAAAAAATATAAATAGAATAAAAATCAAAGAAATCGTTTATGTTTTTAAAAATATAGAAATTCTAAATTGCTTAAATAATTCAGAGAATAATCAAATTTTAACTCACGTGTCCATGGAACTTTGTTGCGTTTTAGCATGGTGATTCAATGAACCAATGCACTGTCTTCTGCTTTGCGCTCTGTCTTGATACCCTGAAGCTAACTGACTTGCAGCAGTAACATTATCCTTTTCCACGCCAAATTTGTGCTTCAGTCGCCTCAATTCCTGTTTGTGAAGTGTTTTCTTGGATGTTTTATTCTCCTCCGTGCTACTACATTGTTGAACAAGTCCTGGCTCGCAGTGGCCACATGTTTCATTGCCATTATGAATATGACATAACAATTTGGTACTTCCAACTTGTATAATTGAGCCGTGCGTCACTTCGTGGAAATCGGATTCTTGTTTGGCTACAGACAGCCTTTTACCATTCAACAACGTACCATTCCTCGATCCAGAATCTATGATTTGATACATCTTTTTGTTTTCATCGTATATCAATCGAGCATGATGCTAAAAAATGATGATCAAAAATGAGATTCCACGGAATCTGTATCACAATTATTTGCATCTACAATTACGTACTTTGCTAACGTTTATGTCTGGTATAACTACTGAATGATCGCCTTCTCGACCAATCGAACCACCTGTGTATGCAACAACAAAGAGGCTTCCGACTTTCAGTTTAGGCAGGTTGGTTTCTTTAACTATGATTCTCATGCATGGTGGATATATCTTGGCTAAATCTGAAACAAATACTTTATATTAGTACAAGATTCTTAACCCTGAGGACAACAAATATGTATTAGTAAAATATCAGTGTGAATCAGAAATGAGCCTGGCAGAGGAAACCGCACTTCAGTAGTCGGAAGCATACTTGCATACATGCACATTTGAGCTAGAGTTAAAATTAATTTACAAATGAATATTATTTAATTTAATAACAAACAAAAATAGCTTTGCGCAATAATAAAATGAATAAAAAAAAGCAAAAGTCATGTACAACAAAGCTAATTTAATTGAAAAAGAAATTAAAAATAAACCTTGATCTTCCTCGTGGTCACTGTCACTACTAGTACATAATTCCGGCGTAATATCATTAGAATTGCTGTCGTTATCGTTGCTTGAACATTCCCCCTCCTCAAGTTCTTTATCTTCCAAAGGTTCTTCCGTTTTTGCAAGTTTGCGTTTTTTCCCCTCATCCTACAAGAGAGACATGTGTGCATATTAAAGGCATAGGATAGTTACCTAGTGCTTGACGCCTGTATTTTTCAATTGATATATTTGAAAGGCCATTTATTAACTCATGTATGTCATCGGAAACCTGAAATTAAAAATGTGTTTTTATGATTGATCTTTCTTTAACAAGGTTTAAACATAGTAAAATAAATCTCAACCTTGTTCGCCTTTCTAGCTTTCTGCTCCTTCTTGCTTGGAACTTGTGAAGCTGCATCGCTCGCAGATACTTGTGCTTGGCTATGAAATTGATAAGTTCCTTTGGCTTCATCATAATAGTAATATATGCCTGTATTACCATCATAATATAAACCCTGTTTCTGAAAAACAGTTTTTTACAGAATTTAATATATAAATATACTTAAAAATATGTTGTTGAAAAAAGTATCCAGCATATTGTAACAAATGCTTACTGCATCATAATAATATCCACTATTATAATCATAATATAAACCCGAAGTTTCTTCATACACAAAACCAGTTTGTAACAAAGCTGACTCAGCTGCTTCTTTAATTTGGTCTGCTATACTACCTGATGTTTTATTATCGTTACTATTATGATTCTGTAAAAAATATGATTCTTTCTCACAGTCCAAAGGATTTGTTTGAGTTCCATAGTCAATTAATTCTTTTTTCCCCAGTAACTTCTGATTCCTCTACGAAAATAAATGTGTAAATAAGCATATATCATTCAATTAAATATGATTAAGGAAAAAAGTGGCCTGATTTTACCTGTTCATTTAGTTTATTTCTTAATTTATTGATTTTCTTGTTCTGCTTTTTAATATGATCACGCATTTGTTTAATAAATTTCAAAACATGAGGAAAATCGTGTAGTTCATCTTGAAAGTTATCTTCAAAATCTGATTTTATTTCTCCTTCATCG